AATTTACACTATTTGATTATATTGTTTAACTATTTGTGAGTGGATATGTCAATTTGAACTTGAGATTTGATAACCTTGTATATTGCAAAATGTGATTTTTTTGCATGTTAAACAATTTGCAATAATAGAAATGATAAAAGTTTTATATGGATTGGTTGAGAAATTTGAAATGTATAGGTGTCATATATGATAAGTATAAGCATGATCATGATAGAGGGTGAAAGTTTACTCGTAAGAAGGAGTAGTGGAAGCCCATATGGCATGTATCTCCTTAGTGTCTAGTGAGGCATGGAGTTGGAGATTTTCTCCTTAGTATCCATACGGGATACGGCATTGAAGAGTGACGCTCTTTAGCATCAGTGATACGGTATTAGAGTAACGACACTCCAATTTATATGCGATAGGGGGAGACTATGGTTCGAAAGTGGGATAAGACATCTTTGGTTAGGTGATCTTACTACTGAAGGTGAGCTCAGACCATTGTGAATGTGCACTTGGTCCAAGAGCCTATAGTTTTAGTCGGAGTGATATGAAAGTTCAGAAGATAGAATGATCATACTAGTGGTAAATGATTTGTGTTTATGAAAAAAAGTATGTTGTAAAATGCTAAAAGTATATTTTTGGTGCTTAATAACTTTACTCCCTTATGATTTGTGTATGTTAATTAATAGTAATGAATTATCTTATTATTAAGATGTTTATCTCACCCTGTGACTATATTTCACAAGTAAGGGCTCTAGTAGGAGTAAGAGGAGGGAAGCGACGTCTGAAGAGTGAAGAGCGTAGTTGTATAGCTCTTCTCTTTTCCTTTTTTTGGGTATTGTAATGAATATTGCTATTATATAATGTCAACTTAGGGACTTGACATTATTTTGCTATCACATATGTGAATTTGTGATAAGTGTGCGTATCTTAGTTCAAGGTTGATGTTGTAGATTAAGTATGTGTGCTTGGCCAAGTTACACTTACAAGAGATATATTTGAAGTGATTTATGTGCCAAAATGACCAAATTGATATGTGTGCTAAACTTCATCTACCCCTTTGTGTTATTATCAAATGGGGGTTTAGTGGTCATTTTGAGTAGGATTGCTTATTTGTGTGATATAAATGATTTATCATGTTGTGGGTGGTCCATTTGAGGTGGTCAAAGTATCTTTGGGGCTAATGGCATTTGGCATTGTGAGTTGGACACCTTTATGTGTGTTTTGAGGTGAAAATGGATAATTTTGAGTTCATGTGTCTATCTTTTAAATGGATGATTGTTTTAGTGTGAGACTAATGCCATTAGCTAGAGGGCTTGAAAAGCTTTGTGTGGATACTTGAACTACTCAAATCGGATGTTAGATGGCGAAACAACGTGCTCCGTAAGTTTAAAGTGTTGTCATGATAGTAAGTGCGTACACGCAAGTAACTTTCAAAGGACTCTTCCCTCTATGCCATCCATTACGGCAGATATGGCTTGTGCCATGGTGGATGGGCTAGAATCTGAAAAATTTTCAAATTTGTTTTTGCTTGCTTCAATTGCTGTTTTGATTTCCATGCTTCTATTACCACCTTTAATTGATTTTAAACTATGGTTTGAGCTCAAACAAAATGTTAAAAAGGATTTTTTTGGAATCCATTATTTTAAACTTATTATCTTTTAAACCCTTGGGTCGTAATAACTTTTTCTTAGGATTATATTTATCCTGGTTATCATAATGGCGTGTAAGTGTTGTCTTGGTAATGTCAAAGCGGACATTACATATTGACCAAAGTACTTCCTACTTCAACTTTTGAGAAGCTTGTATACAACATTGGGGTTCACAAGTTAAGAAATATTAAGTAATATTGTCATCAAGGAGAGTAAAAGTTATGTTGCACTCTTTTTTCCTTAACTAAGTTTTTGTCCCATGGGATTTTTCTTCGTAAGGTTTTAATGAGGCATAATACCTAGACATCCAAGGGAGAGTGTTATGAATATTAGGATATTGTGACTTTTTTTTTAAAATTATTTGATAAGTTTTTGTTATGGTTGTTTAAATTTTTAAAAATAATTTAAATATATAAAAGTAAATATTTGATTAATGATAAATGAGAGAAAATGTTTTAAAAACATGAATATATGAAAATATTATAAAATTTAAAAATAATAACTAATTAATAATTATTTTTTATTATTATATTGAACATACAATAATATTTTTTATAAAATTTCTATAAAATAATTTTTTAATGAAAATTTTAAATTATTTAAAAATTACTTTTTTTAATCTTAAATAAAGGAGCCTTAATGTATGCAGTTTCAAGTCAATACACACACACACACACAACAGTTCCATACACATAATTCCAACTTACATGATTTGGTTTAGGAATTAAGCCAGCACAACATAGAACACATGGTATGAAGGAATGCGCAGAGTTACTAGTTACTCATCGGTGACACAATTTAGAGAGAGATTTCCAAGCACAACAATTCTCAGCGATAGTCTACAAGTCACAAGAATCATATGCATATACAACAGCGTTAATGCGAAGATTCAAAGGTTATTTTAGAGTCTCATAGGTTACTCAAATGCTATTCTAATATTACACTAAAACCTTAAAGTTAACCTATAAAGTGAAACTCTTCTATCCCCAAATTTGTCAACTCTAAAGGTGAGCCTCTTTATTATAGAGACATCACCTTCTCATGTACACACCATGTTATCCATGACCTCATTCTTATTCAAAATCCAACATCTCATTTGGATTAGACTAGATATTTATAGCTAGGTAGACACCAATAGCTCTGCCACTTATAGAGGACTCGTTCACACTGATCAAGGAAATTTAATCAAAGGTTTTTTCTAGATATCTTGATTGTTATCCTAACATTATAGCTGAACTTATAAATATTTTGAAAGAACTTAGCTTTTGTTGGAATAAAAATTTAACTAAAGTCAATGTCTACTCTGATTTAATTGAAGTTCTCACACTCATTCAACACTATTACACTCAAAATCATCCTCTCTCTAATACTATTAATAGGATCAAAGATTTAGTTATGAGAGATTGGACTGCAACTTTTGAGTATACTTTTAGAAAAGCAAATTGGTACGCTAATTAACTTGCTTGTCACGCACCTAACGACAATTTATATACTTCTATTTTGTTGATCCACCTTAAAGATGCAGAAGCATCAGTTGCTATGATATAAGCTAATTATTTTTTTACACGATTTTTCTGTGGCCTTTCATTTAAAAAAATAAATAAATCCCCTTTATTTCTAATTCAAATTTTCCCTTCCTTACAAAAAAAAAACAAGCTTTCATTAACTCAAATTTTCACTAACTTAAGAGTCTAATGAACTATTTGAGTTTAGAGTCTTAATTTAACTTTTGTTAAGTTAAATAATCTATAAACTTCACAGAATTCAGTAGAAAATCTACTAGCTAGTCGTTTCAATTTGATTAAATTTCATTACCAAGATTCCCAAAACCTAAGCTTGAAACAACTTTGTCATTAGCCCACAATTAAATGATCAGGGAACAATATTAGGGGACTTAACCTGCCCAGTTTCTATTTTCATTTTTTATTTTTAAAAACTATTTTATAATATAGTTTTTAAAATTGTTTTTCAAAAGAGAACAAAAAAAATCTATTTGGTTAAATTAATTTGAAATGAGTTTCCAAATTTTAAAAATTGGCTGATAACAAATGATTACTGATAGTTAATGGTGATATCTTATGATAATTATTCATCAATGTAGTTGTGGTTTTCAATAATCAAATATAATATACTTTGAAAACAAGAAATATAAAAAAAAATAGTTTAAGATGTTTTTAATTTTTGTTTCTAAAAACAAAAATTGAGAACGGTTTTAGAAACAATTAGATTCATAACACTTATCTAAACAAGTCTTTTATTTTTTTTGTTTTTAAAAATAACAAAATTGCTTTTTGTTCTTAAAAACATAAACTAATAATGTATCCAGTTCTATTAAAAAAAATCAGAAACTAATTAGGCCCTTCTTGGGATGGACTTTTTTATCCTAAGAATAGAGACATCTGATTTTTTTTCCCTTTTTTTTTCTTGTTATCTTGAGGTTTGGGTTATGCATTATTAAAAACTTGCAAAACCATATAATTATTATTGTCTCTTTTTGCTTTTAATTTGAAGGCTCTGATCTAGTAAGGCTTAATTAAAAGTCTGTTGTTTACTTATTTCTTATTTTCCTTGTAGAATCATTGGGAAGCACGGATGCAAATAGGCCAAGGCTGTTCATATTTGACTCACCTGGCCAAATATGGATGCAAATATATGATTATAAGCAAATGCACATGCGCATCCCTTGCTACAATCTATCTTTTCTAGCAAGAGATTCACGAGAGATCTCCCTTGCCAAAATCAGCAAGGTAATATAGTTTTCGCTAAATAGTGAGATAATATTAGTCTCTTACTAAATTTATTGAACTGTTGCTTTTGTTGCAAATTTAGTGAGGGATATAATTCCTTATTCAAATGCAATTGGCAAAAGATAAAAGGTATTTAATGAGGAATTCTTTTCTCACTGAATGTGATATTTCTAGTGCGGGATAATTGTAACAAAAATAATATAATAAATTATTTCTATCTCCTTTTGCCCCTCTATCTCACTAAGTATTTATCTCTCTATTAGTCTATCTATTCAATCTTTTTCTAAAAGTTGTCTTGTCCTCTCATAATTTGGGACCATGTATATGAATGACCTTAAACATGACTCAAATCATGCAACTCAATGCTTACACATAGAGAACCACTTGCAATAAAATTCAAAAAAGTGCCAAATACATAAACATAAAACCCATTAGGTTTGGTACAATAATAGAGAGAAATCCTTTCTAAGGCAATACATGCCTTTTGTTCTGATCAGTTTGCTCAAGTTTGCAATAACATGCATAGTATTATATCTGGACCTATTTAATTATAAGAAATGAATGATAGTTAAAGTTTCACTGCTTCTTATAAATAGGCTTGGAGATAATATGTGCTTGATCATGCAGTTTTCCAAGAAGAAAGTGAAGGAGTATCAGATTCCTTCCAAGTTGTTACTCCAATCCCATAGGACCTATCACCCTTGACGGCGTCGCTGGTCACAAAAGACTCCAGCTCGGCCAATTCTTCCGGCGTTAGCTTCACCGACAATGCTCCGATGTTCTGATTGAAGTTCTCGATTTTCGTGGTTCCGGGTATGGGGCACACATTTTTTCCCTGGTGGTGAACCCATGCCAATGCTAGCTGGGATGGAGTACATCCTTTTCTTGTAGCCATTTCATTAACCCTCTCAAATATAGTCTTGTTTTGTTCCAGGTTTTCTGGTTGGAATCTAGGAAAATGCTGCAATAATGTAAAATACATGTACTGATAAGATTATATATATATATATATATATATAGATATTGAACAAGGGTCATGAAATAATTTACCGTTATGATCAAAATGCAAATATATGTATATATGGTTCATAATTTATGTGTGTAAGGTTTAAAGGGATTTTTTGTCTCTTTACAATTCATTTATGAATGTTTGGCATTCTAAATTTACATGTGACATAATTGTTCCCTTCATTATTTAAAAATAGTGCATTAGGTATCATACTATTAAAAAAAGTTAACTTTGACGGTTGATCAAAAAAATTGCAAAAAAAAAAAAAGACTCATAAAATTGCACATAAACACCCTATAAAAAAACTAATATTGATTAAGTCCGTAAATTAATGGTTTGTCAAAATTGTATTTTGTTCTTTTATGTGGGTATAAAATAACATCTGTGTTTTGCTATTTATATGTAATGTAGGAAACTTAATTTATGCCAATTTTCTTATAGGGTGCTTTATGTCATATTACAAGTCATTTTCTCTAATTTTTTAAGTTCTTTTTTGTAAATTTTAAATTAATTAATAGTTAAAATCAACTTTTGGTAATGATAGAATAGTCAATGTATCATTTTCAAATGTTCAAAGGAAAAATCACATCATATGAAAATTTAGAATAGTATATACTCCAATTAGGAAGTAAACATGCCATTTAACCCTATTTGTAATAACATGGTTAATTAATACAAACCTGACGAACATCGTGTTGTGTAAAGTTTTCAACTAACTTGGTTCCTGATGAAAAGAATCCTCGTCCAAGAGGACTATATGCAACAATTCCAATACCAAGTTCCCTGAGAGAATATCAAGCAATATCAAAAACCCCAATAAAAAAAACAGTATATATATATATTATAAGATACATATGTTAAATTTGGTTTAACTAATTCAAATATATAAGACTAATATAACTATCTCACAGGCCAGTAAAATAGTGTGTGTTTGGATTATATACATCAAAAGTATATTTACCAATTAAACTGACTTTCAAAATGGTTGAAGTAACTCTTATTAACGTTTTCTAAACTAACTTTTAGGTTTAGTATATGGATTAAAAAAAAAAAAGATTTTATACCCAAACATAGGTTTGGTGGAAGTTAGTTCAGCTAAAGAACCTTTGGGTAACAAAAGTGGTATCCAAACACGCACTTAGGTAAAGAGTTTTGCAATGGAACTTTTTTTTGTTTACTGATTTTCCTTTAATTAATAGTTGACATTTATTTTTGTGAATCCCAGATTAAATTTATCTCTTACACTTTATTTGATGGTTAAGGTTTATTTTCTTCCCCTAAACTATTTTAGGTAGAGCACCCAATATCCTATATTCTTTATCGTAGCAAAGTCACTTTTGAAGCAATTAAATTGTAACAATATTACTCTTGATGCTAAATGGGCAATTATTGATGGTTAACTAATTTGTTGACTTAGAAATAAGTTGGAGTCAAATTGTAGCGATATGGCTCTTGAAATAATTAAATCATAATAATGTAGCCCTTGAAGTAATCAAATTGTAGCAATGTAATCTTGACGTTAAGTTTAAGTTAGCAAAGTTAATGATCAAAATTTACCCATTTAACCTCATAGGCAACATTGTTATTATTTAATTAATTATTTTAAAGGTGATATTGCTACGACAAATAGTTTATAATACTAAATGCTCTTATGAAAATAGTTCTGGACAAAAATAGATTTATTTAATAATGGGCTTTTCATTAAAAAAGAAAAAACACCACATCTAGGCCTATTTATATAGTTAACTATACATAACTTTTTTCTTACAAATAAGCCCTAATGTATTATGTAGCAATAACTCAAAAAGTGTCCTTATCTTATATTTGGATTATCAAAACATCACAACAAGTGTCTTACATTTAACAGTAGTTGAAATCTGACCTGCAAGTTGGAATTATTTCTTCCTCAACGTCTCTTGACCATAAGGACCACTCAACTTGGACTGCTGTTATGGGATGAACAGCATGTGCTCTTCTGATTGTTGAAGCTGAGGCCTCAGAAAGGCCAATGTATTTTATTTTTCCCTCCTCAACAAGTTTCTTAAGTTCTCCAATCTTACAATAAAAACAAATTTTGGAAATAAGCATTCAGTTGTCAAACATATGTATAGATTTTCAAATATAATATATGAACAAATCCAAAAAATTAAAAAATCTTTATAATTTAATCCTCTAACTATGATATCATTAATCATGCATATACTCCATTCATTTCATTTTATAAGACATTTTTTTAGGTGATATAAAAATAAGATATTTTTTAAAAAATAAGGTTTCATTAACGATGATTATATTATTTTAAATTTACCTCTCATTACTTTACTCCTTAAATAAATTTCTTTTCCTTTCTCTCTTATTAATAAAGGGTAATTTGGAAGTTCATAGAAAAATTATGATTAAAAATTATATTTAATAATTTTATTAATATATGTAATTTTATCAAAAAGTATCTTATAAATTAAAACGGAAAGAATAAATGTATAAATGAATGTGTGTTAGGTAACAAATACAAAACGATAACTTCCGAGATAACACATAAGAACAAACTATTTCAAAACAAATTTTGTAACGCTAGGAAACTTTCTCATTCTTAAGTCCATCCCTACATAGTTAAGGATTCTTAGAGCCATAAATATATACACGAGAGAGAGAGTACTCTTGGAGTTGGACCAATATATATATATATATATATATCTCATACACATGTATGGGTATATATGGCAGGCAATCACTCAAATCTGGGAAGAATTCATGAAAGGGGTGGGGAAAAAGATCAATAGTGGATGAAATAACTATTTCTGGTGGGAGAAACGGTCATGTCATGGTCAGCTGCTCATTTACTACACTAACAAGCAACACGACAGATTTAATCAATCAGAATTGGTCAGTCACCTTCTACCTAATGGACGGTGGAATATAAACAACTGGGTTCATGTTCTACTGAGATGGGTTATTGAGAAGCTCAAAATAACCAAACCCCCAAATGGACAAGAGATGGCCCAATTTAGACTAATGGTCTCTTCAGTGTTAAATTATAATAAATTCATACAAAGTACTGGTCATGATGCTCCAAAACCGTTTGTGGAAAAAGATACGGAGATGGCCTGTTTCGGAAAGAATCAAATTCTTCTTCGAGTAGGTTACTTATGAGAGATTACTTACTAATTCACTCATTTGAGTGTTCTAGTGAGGAGTCCATTATACATATTCTTTGTGATTGTGGGATTGCTAAAAGTGTGTGGGAAAGAATTATTAATCTTAATGATTACATTGCTTTCTCTTCTTCTGATTTGTTGGGTTGGCTAAAGTGGAATGTTTGCACGTAAACCAGGAAATTAAATTCTTGCTATCGTAGATGGCCTTTGGATCAAGGTTTTCTGTAATATGTTCTGGCTTCATTGGAAAACTCGATGCAAAAGGCTCTTTTAAGGCACTATCTTCACACCTCAAGTGGTGGTACATCACGGTCTATATCTATTTATGGAGGATTCAAGCAACAACAGATTTCAACATGCAATCTTTCAAGGCTTCTCAGATGATGAGGCAAATTGGCATCCACTTCCTGAAGGTTTGTCAGAGTGGACGTGGATGCTTCCATCAATCAACCAAGATATGCCACATGTGGGGGAGTGATCAGAAATGAACATGAATACTGGATTCTGGGATTCAAACAAGAGCTAGGGAGGGTATCAATCACTTTTGCTGAACTTCTTGCGTTAAAGACTGGTTTAGAAGTCTGTAAACTTCAGAATTTTCAAAAGATCAAATTATTCTTAGATTCTTTTGATGCGGTTAACATGATTTTCAAATATTGCCGTAGTAATTCTGTTCTCAAGAATGAAGTGACTATGACCCAGGAACTTATTTACAGAGATTGGATTATATAGCAAGAACTGCAAATGAAGTGGGTGCGAACACTGAATTAATTTGGACATGTCCTGTGGATTGTTTAGACTTAGTATTGTTTGATATGAGTGACTCTTTAGTTGCACTCCTCTGTCTTTTTCAAACTTCGGCTTGCATTTGTAACCCAAAAAATAAATATGGGTCATGCACTAAATTGGTATTTCATTTTAAGTTGTAAAATATATATATATATATATCAAGACCAAATGCTAGAAAAATTTCATGGTTGAGCTAAAATATTGAGCTAAAATGTATATATCACATCATGGTTGAGCTAAAATATTGGTATCTAACAATAATATTTTAAAATTAAAATAACTTTTATTAGGATGTATAAGTGTGTATGAAATTTAATTGATGTGAAAAATTTCGTGTTGCATAAATAAACAATCAAATAATACACAATAAACTGTGGACATGTTTGATTGCTAGAAAAAATAATGATGAAATAGATTAAAAAATTAAAACAAAAATAAACTAAGCACTTCCTCATAATAAATATGACAAAATTTAATATTATAAATATGTATGTGTGTGTGTGTATATATATATATATATCACAATGTGATAATCATACAAACATCATGAATCATGACCGGTTGCGGAGCCACTTACAAGCGGGTATGAATTTTATATTTTACACCCATTCTGTTTAATATTTTGAATATTAAATTTATTTGATTTTATCTTTTCTAAAGTTATATGTAATAAATTTTTCCAACTTTTTAACTCAAAGCCCAATTAATATAATTTTTTAATGATTACATTATTTTTTAAAAAAAATTCTCCCTATCAAATCCAAGAATTTGCCTCCACAATTGATCATTATTTTCAATCTCATGAACTAAATTTTTTTTTTCCTTATAAACATAGTTAACCTATCTCTCATCCAAATTTTAATCATTTTATTTTTATTTTTTTAATCCATTTCATTTACTTTCTTTCTAACAATTTAACAGGCCTTATAATAATTAAATATGGAAAAAAACGAAGAAAAACAAACCGTAAGTTCAATGGGTAGACGAGTGTCAATGCGATGAACATAATAGAGATCAATGCAATGAATTTGCAGTCTCTTCAAGCTCTCTTCACAAGCAGCTCTCACGTATTGTGGATCCCCACGAACTTCTACCTTGTCGCCGCCGACGAGGATGGTTCCAAATTTGGTGGCCAATTCAACATTTTCCCTCATGCCTCCCTTCAAAGCCTGTTTCAATACTAACCATTATATAGATTTTGACGAGGAGGATTGAGTTACAATTTCTTTTATTTGTTGTAAAAATAAAAAGGATAACAAAATTTTTAAATTACTATACGAGTCTTTTAAATTTTAAAATGAAAATTAAAAATTTTAAAATAATTTAATATATAAAGTATATTGATAATTTTGTGTACGTGCATGTGTGTGTATATGTAGCTTTTTTTTTTTTGCAAAGTAAGTGTATATAGTTAAATAATAATAAATTAACTCTCACATCAATTTAATTTTTAGTTATATAATCTCTTACGTTATGTTTTGTTCTTTTTTTTAAATTTCAGAATTTGTTTTTTCCTACGTAAATAAATATAATTCTTTTCATTGCCATCTATATTATGTTATATATGACAAAAAATTTTGACAGTATTACATCATCTCTCTAAACAAGAAAAACCAAATTAAAAATTGAAATAAATTTAAAAAACTAAATCAATAAAAAATTATATTTAAGAATAAAAATTAATGATTAAGATAAATTTAGAGGACTAAAATTATATTATCTCTAAAAAAATAAATAAAAGTTTTTGATGGATTGAAATCATAAATCTATTGGTGCTCTATCTGGGGGATTTAGATCAAGGATTCCCACCAATCATACTTTTCCAAGAAGGATTTCATTGGTGTGTGGGCCATAGACATCAGAAGTGTCGAGAAATGTGACACCGCTCCGGACAGCATGTTGGATTAGGGCAATCATGTCGGGTTCGGGTTTTGGGGCTCCATAAAAACCTGACATGCTCATGCACCCAAGTCCTTGTGCTGAGACCTCCAAGCCTTGAGAACCTAGCTTGATTCTACCAACCTTGACCATATCTCAAAATCGATAGGAGAGCTTCTACTTCCTCCGTCAATGTTGTGATAAAGAGGCTCTACACAAGCATAGATTCCCACCTCAAATAATAAAAATAATAACTTTAGACTATCATATATAAAGTAAAAAATTTGACATCACTAGTGATATCATCAATGATTATTCCTCTTTTAGAGATGTTTTATTTGCATGGACCCAATGCCTTAGTTTAATCAAATAAAATCTAATGTTATTATTTTTAATGACTTTATTTTTGAAATAGATTACCTTTTTAATTTCTTATCTTCTCTCTCTCTCTCTCTATCATAATTAATGGAAATTAATTTATATTTACAATCATAAGACATGATATATTTTTATTAATGATCAATTATTATTTAAATTCTAAAGTCTCAAACAATTATGTTAATTAAAGCCATTTTTGTGATGTTTTATGTTCATAATCTTAAACAATTCTCCCTTTGTCCAAGACTATAAGACAACATTTGATATATTTTGTTGTTCCAAAATATAAGATAATTTTGATAAAAATAAGATTTCATTAATAATGATTTTTCAATTGGAGATAGAATTGAAATTATTATAAATTTAAAATTATATTAAATTAAGAGTATTTTTGGAAGTTTATTTTTGCTTGGAAAAAGTAAGTTTCTAAAGTGTCATAATTGAGTTTTATTAGCATGCATAATATTATTTCAAATTGACTTATAATTTAGGATGGAAATAGTAATATATATATATATATATATATATATTGGAAGTTGTCCAAAAATAATATAAAAATTAAAAAAGTTATTTACGTCCATCTTGTTATGTGTATAATCATTAGAAAATCTTGAAAGATTATGATTTAAATTAGTACCATATTCAAGGTCAAACAAATTGATACCATATTTGCTACATGCATGTATGCTTGTTTGTTTAAGCTAATTAACTATTATTGCATTATGTAATTAATGTTACTCTATTAGTTAGAAAATATAAGGTATTTTGTTAAGGTTATATGTTGAAAATAGGTATTTTTTCAATATGTAATTAATGATTTTTTTCAAAAGTATATATTTTTATAAATAAATAAATCAAGCTACCCTATTAAATAAGAGAAAATATTGAAAGAAAATATTAATTTAAAAATAATCAAATAATTTATTGAGATGGTGATTTGATTAAAAATGTCTTATATTTTTTATTTAAAAAAATGTCTAATATTTTTTAATAAAAGGAGTATATCAATATTATTCATCTCATGTAATAATTATTTTTCAAGATTACATAATGATCTAGTCAATTTTAAGTTGTTATGGCAAAACAATCAAATTTAAATTGCTAACTATTATAAACATTAGAGAAAAACTTATATACTTAGCTTTATATACTTGAAATAATTGTTTTCAATTAAATCAAAATATGTGGATCTTCTATAAATTATTTATTTTATAATAAATTCTTGTTATTAATATTATCAATACTTCTCTGATCTTATTTATAAATTATTTCTAATATATTTTATTGGAACTAAGAAAAAGCTTAAAAATCATTAATTCTATCTAAAATTTTAATATTTTCTCAACTTTGTCCCTGTTATATATATATATATATATATATATTTAATAATATATTTTCTTTTTCTAACATTTAATGGATGATAAATGAAAAAATTTGTGATGCAAATTTAATAAGGTGACTTATAAATATAACAAAAAAAATCTTATTTCTTTGTTTTATAAATAGGACTTGAGGGAGTATATTAAAATTTAATTATCTTGATTTGATTAGATAAAAGAGTATTAAATATATAAGACTAACTATATAATTTTTACCCTAAATAGTATCCTATTTTGTGGCTATTCATGATCTCTCAAGATTCAAAAAACTTAATCATTACTTTCATAATCATTCCATCTTAAGTCCTCCCCAATTCATGAATCTGATTATTAAGTATTGGAACATTTATGTGTATCAAATACAATGAATCTTGAATTTTGGGGGAATGTACATCTTAATTTTAGTATAGACACAATGTAATTCTTACATTTAATATTGGAAAAATGAGAAAAAATACCCACCAAATAGTTAGCCAAGAGCATTCAGTAGTTTAAAGTGAGAAAAAAGGTGATAGGGACGTGAAAGCAGAATCGTGTTAGTTTAGGGAGAGAAACCTGAAACAACAAAAACACAAGAATAAAAAGAAAGGGATGAAATTTATGACAAAAATAAAGAAAGGTATAAAGTAAACAATAGGATGATGATCAAGGAGAAGATCCTCTAAAGCACCTGCCTCTAGGAACTTCAACCTTTGAAGACACCACAAGAGTTGATCACGCTCTTGATCACGTCTGTTTCTCACACGGGATACCACCACAAAGCACTAAGGCTCACAAGAGTTATAAACTCTAAAATGAATAATTTCATTCAACTTCTGTGTTGTTTATAATAGGGAGCATGCCTAATTTATATAGGCTCATAGAAAAAAAATATTTCCTAAAATTAAAACCCTAATTTTCTAATACTAAAAGGAGAAATAATATAAAATAATGATAAAATATTCACCCACATAATTTAGGAGATGTGATCCTAAAATTATGGGATTATAAAATTTAAAAATTAATACTATAATTAATTCTAACTTTTGACTAGACTCAAAATAGAAAATCAAATCAAAGGACCATTAAAATCGGAAAGAATTTAGGAGACAATCAAGGGATCATAAAGGATGTAAAATCACGCCACCCTTAACTTCTTTACTAGAGTTTCATGCCTCCTTGCTTGCAAGAGGCTCAACTTGTAATCTTCCTTGCATTGAGCTAAGGTTTGCATCTCTTGGGCTTGACTCTTCATAAGTTTGAATCTTAAATATATTATACACGTATAGATGCTCTCTTTTGGGCTTGAGAGGAGTGCCCCAATGCTCTCCAAGCTCTTGAACTTCTTGCACAAGACTGAACAAGGCTTGCTTCATGGCTTTAGTTTGGGCTCTTATCATTGGACCTCTAATATATTGTAATGGGTCTTTAGGTACGTTGGATTGGAAGTATTGGGCCTCTTCTATGTCACCATGCTCATGATTACTATCCTCAATCTTTGTTACCATTAATGCTATGTCACCCATGTCATGGGATCCATCAAAAGGGGTAAAAATATTCATATTGTTACTTAAATTGGTGCAGCAGTGATCAATCTATCAAAATCCTTAAACATCCGTTAGTTTTAAGTGTCAAAGTTGAGTGTGCTGGTGTGAAGATTGACCACTCTAGCGATGCCATATATGTTAGAGAAATTTTGACTATATTGCCACGTGTAAGTCTCCTTTCCCTCAAACACTTCCTCTAGCTTCCTCATGAGACCTTCTTGTGCTCTTTTATTAAGATGGCACATAAACCTTCTTGTGCTCTTTGATGACTCAAACTCCCTTCATCATGACAACGTTAATGAGCATCAAACTAAGGGAGATGATGTCATAGTAGTGGCAGACTCATGCGATGAATTGGGTACCTCTTGACTAACTAGACGATGCGTGAGGGCAATAATGGGACTAGTGACAATGGACTCTGGTCAGAAAGATCAAGAAGAGGACAAGTGACAATAAATCTAGAGAGGGACAAGGGTCACAACTCTTAGATTGAGGTTTGAATGTTTAGATCTAATGTTACAAGACTGTTATATTAAAAAGGATACTAGATTTGGAGCTATAGAGATTTTGAAGCTTGACATACTCATAGCTTAAAGGCTCCAAGATAAGTGTCCTTAAACTCTAGTAATGAGGGTGCCATCAATTGGGAGTGTAGATATCAGCTTGTTGAGATGCAACTATGAAGCTCACCTATGAAAGCTTGTCAATGGGAGAAGAAATTTGGGAATATTTTCAACTAATAGATCTACTCAATGCCTTGAAAGTGTTCTTGTTTTTTAATTCACTATCTTTAATTCCCTTCTTTGATTTCCTTTACTTTGATCTGCTTCAATTCTTTGATTTGTGATTTTCTAGTCTACAATTTCTTATTTGCACTTGTACATTTTTTTCTAGATTGATTGTTATTGAATTTTGGATTGATTACTTTTTGGAAATTATCATTGATTTTTCAATTGATTATTTTCTGATTAATTCATTCAACAATGATAGTGATGAAGTTGGTGGCTTGCTATGCATTCCCTTTCAACAATGATAGTGCTTTCCCTTGCCTCTGAGTTTCTTGTGCTTGTGTTCTTTTGTTCTTTCAATTCTGAAGCATTTATGGGATAAGAATGTGAAAAGGTTCTCATTTTCAATTGTAGAGGGTGAGAGGAAGAGGGAGATGCAGAAGATGCATAAATGGCAAGAACACTCAAATCAACATCATATTTTTATTCCACTTGGCAAGGAGAGAGGGGCTTAACATTGAAAATTAATAGAGGTTCGTGATAGTTAATGATTTGTTCACTCTTACCCTTACTAAAATAATATTATGAGTATTTTTATTCTTTTTTCTTTTAGCATTTGATGATTGGAGGCACCACTATCAAAAGGCTATATATAGCGCTTTCCATATAATAGTTATTAAAAAAACCACTATATAGTTGAGGTGGAATTTAGAAAACAAGATTGTATAGCAGTTCCTTGAAATAACTACTGTATAGTCTTGAGACTATACAATGGTTATTTTGAATAACCGCTATATAGTCTCTCTCTGTTTTTTAATTTTGACCATACAATGGTTATGATCTTAAGACCATACGACAATTATTTAAAAAGAACCATTATATAGTCTTTCTTCTTCTTGAATCTTTTTCCTAGAGACTATACAATTAATGGTTCTTTCTAAATAGCCATTGTATAGTCTCGAGACTATACAGTAGTTATTTAGAAAGAATTGCTGTATAGTTTTCCAATTCTAAAAACTTTTTAAAATACACACCTTTTATATTACACATGGATTGATGATGTTATTATATCTGAACCATTAATTTTTTTATCCAGTGGCACACATACTAGTGTTTTTAAAATCGAACCAGACTGGATGGTC